GATGCTTTCCAAAGGAGAGTGTTTTAGAAGTGAAGAATAGGTTAAAAATATTGGAGCACTTCCTCAAAGCTTAAGGTTCACACAAAGTTCCTGTCAAATTAAACCCCATTCCAATTTACAAAATTATTGGACTTATGCAAGTCGAAGCTTGTATTACCTGATTATATATTATAATTACCTAATTTATTATTAATTACTGTTACATATCAGTCTATAAAACATTTTATGAAAGAAAGAGATCCCTGCCCCAGAGGGATTGCAAACGGAGTACCAACAATTTAGTAAGAAATAAATGTACCAGGGGAAAAGAGAAGATATAGACAAGAGTAATAAGGATAAAAAAGAATACGAGTGAGTTCAGTTACAAATGTTTCATTTCACTCACTTAAAAAAAGTTATTGATAAGATTGACTAAGACCAGAGATGGGCAACAAAAAATGTGCAAGGTCTAAGGGACAAACATATCAGGAGAGGCTGAGGAACTGAATATGTACAACCTGGAAGACAGAAGAGAAAGGGGGGGGGGATAGGATTGAAACCTTTAAATATATTAAGGGTGTTAATAAGGTTCTAGAAGGCATTCTTAATATTAAGCAAAAATCAAGAACACAGGGGCATAACCTCAAAGTGACAGGAGGGAAGTTCAAAAGTAATGTTAGAAAGTAATTCTTCATAGAAGGAGGCAGTAGAAGCTTGGAACCAACTACCAGCAGAGATAATAGGTCAATCATCAGTAACTAAGTTTAAACATGCATAGGATAAACACATGTCCAGTATCTGACAAAAATAAATAAAATAAAAATGAATAAAAATTATAATTAAAAATAATAAATACATAAATTAAAAAGAAAAAAAACCCTCAAGAGGGCAGACTCTATGGACTACTAGATTACTGCCTGCCAACTATCTGGTGATCTGGGAATGTTCAGGATGAGAGAGTTTATTTGAAATTTATAGGGTTTTTTTGTTTTTTTTTACAATCGGTAGAAGTTTGTCTACCGAGGTGGCGCAGCAGTTAGAGTGCAGTACTGCAGGCCACTTTAGCTGATTGTGTTCAGCAGGTCAGCGGTTCAAATCTCACCGGCTCAAGGTTGACTTAGCCTTCCATCCTTCCGGGGTAGGTAAAATGAGGACCCAGATTGTTGGGGGCAATGTAAATATATATATACATTGCTTACTGGTGTACACCGCTTAGAGAGTGCTTGCACTTAAAGCGGTATATAAGTCTCATACATAAATAAATAAATAAATATTCAACAATGAATGGCAATGGTGAAAATCCCAGAAAAATAGCCATTTCATAAAAAGTGAATGAATACCATTCAGAACCATACATGTCTATATACAAGTGAACACATAAACCAGGCAAATGCATCCCTGTAATGTGTCATGGGTACAAAAAAATATACTACAGCAAAAACTCACAAGACAAAAACTGCAGATGTAGTTCTTACAAAACAACCTCTTTTCTTATTAATTCTCCCTTTTGGCTCCCATAGGTTTTCCCTTTCATTCCTAGATTCTTTTGTCTTTTTATTGATTCAATATATATTCAATACCTTTTTATTTCTTAAGGAGATTTATGGGTCAAATGAATATGGTGCCAGAGGCATTATTAGAAATACAGTTGATAATGCTATTTTCTTTGAGGAACGCTCTATTCCCATTTTTAGAGTACAAGGATTTTTTTTTTTAAATTGAGAAGTCATATGGAGCAGGATGAGGAACATATGGTAGGGGCCAAGGAAAGTAACCATGGCAGACATCACATTGGGAATCTCAATACTATAATAGGAGAATATCTAAAATATAGCATTTACTAAGCAATATAGAATTTGCAATTTCAAGATTTTTCTTTACGATAAATACAATGTAGGTTTTCTATGTTGCAACAAAGATTCTAAAGATTTTGGATTGCACTCAGCTTTGATCCATACTTGCTTTATTTCCCAGATGATAAAAAAATTGACAGCAATGATCAAATTATTCAAAATCCTTGGCTTCTTAATTTTATTACCATATATATAGGAGCCAGTTTAGTCTACTGGTTAAGGCCTCAGGCTAGAAAGCAGGGGACCATGAGTTCAAGTCTCACCTTACTCATGGAAAGCTAGCTGAATGACCTTGGGTGAGTCACATTGTCTCTCAGCCCAACCCACCTCACAGGGTTGTTGTGGAGAAAACAGGAGGAGGAAGTTATGTTGAATATGTTTGCCACTTTGAGTTTTTTTGTAAAAGTAATAAAGGTGGGATAGAAATAAATAAATAAATAAATAAAATACCTTGCATTCAAAATTGCCTAACTGACTGTGACCTCCAAATGTACAGAATAAAAAATTATGTAGAGTTATTTATTATTAAAGAGTATTCCTGAAGAAACTTGCTATCCATCTATCCATCGTTCCATCTATTCATCCACCCACCAGGAGACTTCCTCTTTGCCTGCAAGTGATGCTTTTCTGCTTTTCTTTCAGCTCTCCAGCTGCATCATATTTGACCAGAAGTTATATAATCTGGATGTACAGTCAACCTGCACATGTCCCAGCATAAATTTGCTTTGCAGCGAAAGTAGCTGTTCATCCTAGAATACTCTGTGTTTTGTCCATTGTTTCTGTACTATCCATACAACAGTCTTTTCTCTGTCTTCAATTCTTATCTGTTCGTGTGGAATAGTAATCATGGGGCTCTTTATCATTTGAGTCAACTCTCACTTCAAATCTAATTTATGGGCAGAATACAAATGCTGGGGTGGAATTTATGATGGTTGAAACCTCAACTTGAATTTAAGGAATTCAACTTATCTGACAACATATTAAGACAGCAACTATTGTTAGCAGCCTAAATATGTACTACAATAGCAAGTGTGAGTGGGGAAAAATTGCCCCCTTCCCAGTAGAAATCTAATAGATCCACCTAAATTTGATCAGAAGAGTCAAAGATGCAAAAACATAAATCATATCTTGTTAAAATTTCTGCTCAAGGTTTCACCTTATTCTTGTTTAACAATGACCTATATCTAGATTTGCTGAATAAGAGAAGCAATACAGACTAAATTCAGCTTTTCTTAATTGAATGGGGGGGGCAAGAAATGCAGCTTAGGCCATAAAGGTTTGAGATGAGTTTGGTCAATGCAGCTGCTTTTAAAGTAAAAAGTGCTTTTTCACATCAATGCTCTATGGAAAAGTATAACAAGATTTTCCACTGGATGCTTTTTTAAATTAAGATTGTTCTTTAAAAGGCCAACAGTTAGGAACACCAATTCAAGAAATCTGGCCAAAGACAGATCCCTAAAAAGCCCATGAAAGCTGAATGAATCTTTAGTGTGTTCAGATGTTTGCAAAAGTCAATTTGCTGTATCAAGAATTATCACAATTTATTTATTAATTTTTATGTCACCTATCTCACTAATACAGTGATTCTGGGTGATTTACAATATGATAGGAATGTTGGAAAGATTTTAGCAACCAAGTCATATGGCAACTTAAAGTCCAACAGATTTCGGGAGCTAAAGCTTAAAAGTGACTTTTTTGTCTGGGAAAGCTTACGATATCATGTATTTATTAGTCTTTGAATTGTCATGGGCCTAAGGGATTCCCCCCCCCACGCGTAAAATATACTAACACTGTTATTCTTAAAAAATTTTTCAAGCTTTTCCAAAATCAATTGAGCTCCATATCTGGTTTGCATGCAGTGTCATATTAGCAATGGCAATCTTCTGGAAGCAATTCCTGTTGAGAGTCTAACTTGTTCAAATTTCAGGGTGAGACTCTACAATCAGCTGGTGTACAGCTGAATATACTGCTAATGTAACTTTGATACTATGAATACCTTACTATTATCACCAATTATCAAGGTTGTTTTTAAAATGTATGTGGGCTTCCAAACAACAGGCCACATGATTGACAGCCAATAAGTCCATCTAGCTCTTCAGCAGAAAGTGATTTTGTTTTGAAAGCTATGGAGATTACTTAACCAACTTCTATTGTGAGCTTAAGGTTGATATTATAATCATTTACAACAAGCGTTTAAGAATGACACCTTTACCTAATTACCTGAAAGAATTTTCCACAATAATAAGTTTGAGTAGACACATAAAACTAGCTTTAAGGAAAATAATATCTCAACTTTTTCTTTATTTTAAATATGAATCCTAGTAATTATGTATATACAATTTATATATTTGAAAAAACAATACTGCAATAGGGAGAAAAGTTATGTCACAAGTATCTATTTTACTTTGTCATTTTTAATGAGAAAGTTTATCAAGAGTAAAAGACATGTTACATATGCGCCTTAAGCAAAGAATAAATTGATTTTCAAAGCGAAAAACCTACCACTTTATGCAAATGGAAATCAAACGCATCAAACGTACATGTGTGTGTGTATGGTCAGTGCAACTTTTCTTTTATAAATTACACTTTTGAAAATCTACATCTAATTATTCAGCCCCAGGAAATCAAGAGTCAGTTGCTTTATTTGAAGCCACAAAATATTCTAACAAACACCAATAACCAGAATACTATAAACCATTTAAAAAGACTCATAGTAAGGAGGTTAAAGACTCAGAGTGAACACTACTTATTAAAAATAAAATGACATTTAATGGACTGCTGAGGACTTAAAGCTCTGTTGCAACAGAACAGAATGCCACTTTTACTGAATGTCTATGGAGATTCTCAGTCATCCAGGTTATGGTTTCACTTTGACTGAACCAGACACAAATACCTGTATGTAAATATCCACCTACAAATATATGTTTATCTTTCCAAATCATAAAACTTCATTGATTAGCTAGAACTCTCTCCATTTGTCTTCCTGAGACTGCCATGAAGCAACCTAAGCTAGGTTCAAATGAGGGAACAAAATTAACAAGCCTTGGTCTACTTTTGGTTCAAAAGCCACCACACTGGTGCCCAAAAGAGGAATGTTCTCATATATCCCAACCTGGGGACAAAGGCGCCATGGAACGAGAGGTCATGGATGTTTTGGTAAAGCCTCACCTCTGGGTCCTGTAATGACAGGTCGATGATGCTGGGTGAATGCCGTTCCAAGGGAGGAGGTCTGTGAAGGCGAGGGACTGCTGAAACCAGACTTCTCTGACTTCTTTAATGTAGTTGGCGATGGCAATCCTGGCAAGAATGATTGATACGTGCAATTTAATAATGCTAGCTCACAGAAAAAAAAAATGCCTCTGCATTTGGAAACTGGGTGCGAAAGCAAATAGATAAACTCAAAGGACAAATTAAACTGCATACAACAGCAAGCTTACTTTTATTTATGACTGTCTTTGGGAACAATGGGCGGCTACCGCCGAGGTAAAGAAAGGCACATTAAACTGCAGCCATATTTTTCTTTTTAAATCTCTAAGGGCAGGAACTGGCACCTCATTCATTACCACTCTTCTCAAGTTCCATCGATAAACGCTACTTTGAGATGTGTTTGTGTTTTTAAGGGATCGTTCTATCGTTTATTCTCTCCAGCTTATGAACAGGTATTAAAAATGTCTCAGGGAAGTCAACAGAGTTCAGTGGTTTGGAACCTCAATGATCAGACTGTGAGAATGAGTAACACTTCTCTCTCAAGTTCCTGCTTGTTTCATAGTCTCTGAGAATTTGAAGTAGTTTACAATAAGTCAAGTAACAGAATGAAGGCTGCAAAAGGTTCTGTAAAAAGCATTTCTGTGGTCAGAAACATTTTGTGGGAATAACAGTATTCTTGAATTTTTCTTTTAGTTGCTCCCAACCTTTTGTTCATTGTTTCATTCCCGGCAACTATGACCAACTAAGCTTCATTCCACCACATCTGAGGGTACTGGATTAGGAAAGACTGTTCTGTATAGCAGGTTAAAAGGTCGTTTCCCAAATCAATTTAGCACACTGCAATTTGAATGTTGTTATATGTGAGTATATATGCGCTTTGTTCTCCTACTTAGTGTTGATTTCTGAAAAAAATCCTTACTGGAAAACAAACTTTCTAAGATGCTGAGAACTTTTTAACATCACTTGAAACAAATCAGCTTCAGCATTATCAGAACCACAGGGAGATGCCTTGTTTGTCCATCTGCTCCAATATTTTCTGCATGGACTGACAAGGTAACTTTACTAGGGCATTGTGAGAAATCACTGGAGGGAAAGGAGAACCGGTAAGACTGCCTCCCCCCCCACACACACTGTCCTTCTTTTATGGAACAAATCTGTTCAGGAAATAATCAGTATGGACAAGTAACTTATTAATCTTTGCTTTGAAATGTTGTATACAGTAATGTTACTGCATGATAGACGTATATAAAGATACACACATACAGTGTTAAGATGCAGGCCTAAAATTTAATGAAGCACAGGACAGGAAGGAATGGTTAGGTCAGAATAAAGGGCAGTCCTTAGTCTTTCTTGTCTGCCTGTCGGCTTGTCTGTCTGTCATCTATCTACCCATGCATTTCCAATTTCTAGACTATCCAACCCCAAACATAATTCTGGGTGGCTTTGCAAACGTGAAACAATAGAGAAAAATCAAACACCCTGCTCCAATCACTCCAAGGGAAGAATGGGGGGGGGGGGAGGGAAATCACAATCTCCCTCTTCACTCTCAAACAAGAGAGATCTACCATCCAGATTGGCCTGAGGGAGAAGATATATTTTAGAGCTTACTTTATGGTAGAGGCTGAACAGACATTTGTGGAAGACAGGCACTGTCACAGGGAAGGGCTACTTTCAAGTCCCTCCAGATGACATGGCTTAATCCTCAGGACCCAAAGCAAGGCAACGTTCTTTGATCATATAGGACAGGCAGATACTATAGAAGACAGACAGCTCTCAAGTACCCAGGCTCTATGCCACACAACCCAGCATCAGGTCAACTCCTGCTGTGAAATTCTGCTGATATTCATTATAAGGTCTTTTTAATGGAGTTAAGCCATTAAAAAATCACTGAACTGAACAGTGCTTTATTTCTAAATAGACATGAGTTCACTTTAATATCAGAAATTTTACTTTCATATGAGATTCACTATGTTCGAGGAGGTGTAATCTTAGAAGTAAATGTTCTTAACGCTGCAGTCATAATATGATCATAAATGACTATATTAGCTCAACTGACCTTGATATAATTCAGCTGAAAGTTAAATTTTGAATTATGGAAGTATGGGAATTACACTTTCTAGTGTAAATAATGATTTGTTGGTGATGAGTAGCCCCTAAACTGCTATCCTATGCAGATTTACCGGGGCATACATGAGATCTGCTTCTAAGAAAGCAGTTTCCCATTGCTTGATTATAACTTGGAGATCCCTATCTGCTTCATACACTGAGATCTGTTTCTAAGAAAGCAGTTTCCCATTGCTTGATTATAACTTGGAGATCCCTATCAACATACAGCTTTATTTCATAGAATTTTATAAGAATTACTAAGATAATGTATGTAAAATCATCAAATGCGAAATTATCAGTTTACTGCCTGTTTATTGTTGATATCCATAACCAATTTAACCTTTTGAAAGGGCATAAATGGCTGAATTCTGAGCAAACACATATAAATGTTAAAATCGTCTTCAAGCTGAACCCAACATCTAAGGACCACATGGGCACATCCATGTAGTTTACTTGACAGCAATATACAAGCTATTTGTCACTGCCTTTTTATAGAATGTTGCTTGACTTCCCAGTCTAGCTTAGTGAACTGGTATTTTCTAGTGAATTCCCATTAAAAAAATAACCAGGCACAACCCTGGTTAGCTTCTGAACTCTCACAAAGTTAGCTAGGTACTCTCATCTACTTTTATGAATTACTTGTTTGATGTAGCAAACCAACAGCTCCATTCAATTTTTTAAAAACTATATATATATATATATATATATATATATATATATATATATATATATATGTATACACATACATACATATACATACATACACATAGCATGGTTTTATAAAAATTATACATATTACATTAACACAGCCACAATAATATATTATTGTTATGGCTGGCTGCATAGTCAGCCAGATGTTTAGACTGGATATGGCATTTTTATCCACCTGTCAAGGCCTTCCCAAGGACCCAGGATAGGCAGATGTTGTTGTTTCATGGTGTTAAAGGTATTATCACAGGATGTAAGCTGTCCCAAATAAAGCTGCCTTTTGTAATTGACTGGTGGTGATTTTAGCAATGCCGGAAAAATGCTTGTGGTCCTTCATATGATTTTGGACTGCACTCACAGCACCTATTACTATTGGCACTATCTTTGCTTCCTTTTTCCACAGCCATTCTACTTCTATTTGCTGATATTTGTATTTTATGGCATTCTCCAATTCTTTCTCTTCTCTTTTCCTGTCTCCATGTACACTATCCAGACTTTTTGTGTGTTATCCACAATTACGTCTGGGGTGCTCTGTGGCAGATGCTTGTCTGTTTGAATGTTAAAGTTTCAGACCACTTTAGCTTCTTCATTTTCTATTGCTTGGTCTATTTTGTGGTCCTACCAGTTTGCGCTTGCAGGCAAATGGCATTTCTTGCAGATCTTCCGATGCACCGTTGTTGCTACTTGTCATGCCCTTGCTTGTAATCAGTCTGTACTACTGCAGCAGCTAACTAGGTGGTCCAGCATTTCTTCAGTTTCTTTGCAGAGGTAGAATCTGCTGCCTGTTGCTGTCTTTTTGATTTTGGCTTTGTATGCCTGTTTTTAAGGCTTGGTCTTAAAATCAGAATTAAAAATGAGGACCCAGAGTGTTGAGGGCAATATGCTGACTTGGCAAACCATTTAGAGTGCTATAAAGCACTATGAAGAACTATGTAAGTCTAAGTGCTATTGCTATTAGCCCCTCTGTCTCTTGCTTCAATTTTTCTGCTCTTAGCCATTGTTGTTATCTCCTTTGCCTGCTATTGTAGTAATATAGCAATACTTTGCCTTGTCACGTCTCTTGTTTTATTCTTCATTTGATCTTTCTTGTAAACAGTTTGTCTCTCTGGTACTCAGGTATATTAGCTTCAGTGCATCTTCACTGTCCTTCAGAGATTCTTCCAATACCCAATATTCCATATAATATGCTATTAATATTATTATTATGGTTCATTGCACATTATTATTATTATTTTGGGTGATTTGTGGCCAGTCATCCACTCTCTGCCCATCTATCTCACAGGATTGTCACTGTGCAGAAAAATAGAAGGAGCATTATATTCATTGCATTGCGCTGTCAACAAATAAATAAATAAATAAATAATTTTTAAAAAATCCTATTTTGTCTTTTTCTGTACTGCACAAATCAATGGAAGCCTAATGCATCATTTTTGGTGTACTATAATAATATTCTGTTTGAAGGTGAAATCAGATGGCTTAGTAAAATACAGATGTGAACCTGCATGCAAGAATGAAAGCTTTAAGAATAATCTAAAATAAATGTTATTCTTCTAAAGTTATTCCAGACATTTGATAATGTCTTTTGTGAGAAATGGCTATATTTATACTTAGAAAAACACAAAAACCAAGAGGCCATTTTAGTACCCTGTGTTTTGTTAAGGTTGCTGATATTTCTTAGCATAGTCTCTTTCATTTATTCACTCTGTTAATTTAAATCAGCATCTGATTTATTTTTCTAGTCCATACTCGATTAAATGTTTATCTATCTGGGACAAACACTGCAAATGAAACTTGCAAATGGAGATAAAACTTTGAATATTCACTGGAAAATCAGAATCATTTCAAAACTGAGTAATTTCAAGAGGCTGAAAAGTACAAGTTCCACCAACATAAAAGGCATTCTGACACTATATGAAAGGATTATGTGATGAAAGTAGAGTAACAAAATAAAACCAAACTGACTAATATGCCATGTAGTAGTGCTTATTATTCAACGGAATATTGTTTTATCTAAGCTATAGATCTGAGGCAAGTAGAAAGAAGGGTTTAGGCCAGAAATAAATAAATAAATAAATAAATAAATAAATAAATAAATGTAGATCAGATGGAGGCATATCCTCAAACCTTGCCCTCTCTTTGGAATGAGCATGGCCTTACGCGAGGTATGACTGCGTGTGACTAAATGCATTAGCTATCTTTGTGGATGACTGTAATTGAATTTAGCCAAATGCAATTATGCTCTCTTTGTTGACATGAAAAAAAATCATGGATGATGA